TGTGTTAGGACAGGCTAATAACAAGTTTGTCGACAGGCTTTGAGATAAAACTATGAATATCTTTGAGATAAAGTATGTGTCTTTAAACAAGTCCTTCCACTCTGCAGCACTGTTTTATTTCAGCATTAACAACTCACCATCTTTGGCCTCTTGCTGTCTTGTACCAGAGGCATTTCTGAGGACACCAGAGTGACACAGAATCAAACATCCAAACGTAAAACTCAGAGTGCAGTGTCAGCTCTGTGCGTTTACGTACCTGTGCGCACCGAGGACACCTGGACAGGTTCAGGCAAACGTCTTGCGTAATGGAGTCGCATGTTGCTCAGCAGAGGGTAGGTCGATTTAACGACGTCGTCGGTTTCCAGGAGGTCCAGGAAATCTTGGCAGGTCTTTTCTCCTTTATTCATGATCTTATCCACAAGCTCAACAACGTGTCCCTCCACATCTTCTTTATTGATGCTCTTTAGATTGTTGTACTCCCGTGTAGTTATCAGATTCTTCTCATGGACCTTGTTGAGGATTAATCTATAATCTCCACATAAAGTCGTGTGTATGTCTGTTTTGTTGCGCCTCACTATGTCTTTTGCGGACATGCTGAACCTGTGAGTAACAACAAAAAGGTGATCAACAATTAGAAGACCTGGACACACTTATTTAATTACAACTTTGTTGGCTTAGGTTCCCGTCAGAAGGTACTCACAGTGTTCCCGCTGAAATCCCCTTGCTCTGGTTGCTTTCGATTTCCAAAAGTCCGCAGTCAGAATGAACCTATGTGACTGTGAAGGCTCTGGTGTTGTCAATCAGTGCACAAGTTCCGCGTAACAGCAGACTCAGTTGTTGCTGCCGCGTAAAGACACACAATGGAGGACTGTGGGAGTCACACGTGTGTACCACCTAGCGGAGGAGCAGCAGAGTGACTTCCTGTGGATCCTTGAGTGAATGGAATGGCAGAAAGTGCCCTGATCAAGAGTAGGGAGATTGAGGCTCATTTCGGCTCCTTGTGGCTGAACAGAGAAACAGTCGAGGCAACTTAAAGAAGAAAAAAAAATGTGGCGTTTGTCAGCATTACCACACGGGGCAGCACTTTGCTTCCTGATTCGAGTCACCAAAGTGTAGACAAAAATACACGACTCAGCGTTTAAGGTCGTTTAATTCTGTACAGGTGGAACAGTATTGTCAAACGTACCGGGAACACACGTTAACTCAAATCGACAGCGTTGGGTATGACGTCTTCCCTGGTGGTCTAGTGGTTAGGATTCGGCGCTCTCACCGCCGCGGCCCGGGTTCGATTCCCGGTCAGGGAACATCTTTTGATTCTCATTTTTTGTGCTAAGAAGTTGTAAAAGTCTATTTGCAACATAGCTAAATGTTTGATGAGGTCAGGGAGGATCGAATCATCAAATTCACTGACACGTTCAGGTAAAACTACATAGTACAACTATTTTTATTTTTTTTGCCTTTGTTTAACCAGGTGAGTCCCATTGAGATTGGCATCTCTTTTGCAAGGGAGCCCCGGCCAAGAGGGCAGCAACCAGGGCTACAACAATACAACACAAAAAATAGAAAAAATAATATATAATCACTACAAGGCATAAATACATGAACTACATACAGTACATGACAACTCAATTGAAGCAGCTACAGACTTCTGTTTTTACAGACTGTAACAAAACTTTAAAATCCCCCAAAGAAACAAGGTCAGACGATTTGAGCGTCTTCTGCAGCAGACTCCAGGACCAAGGGGCATTGTGACAAAACACAGTCTTCCCAAATGCAGTGAAGGCACGACGGACCGAGAACATACCATTGATGATCTTATTAAAATGTAGTGTTCGCTTCGAAATGTTGAGTCCTTTGACACCCATTATTGGTTTTTACTAGTTACCCATTAGTCTTTTATGTTTTCGATGTAAGTACCACGGAACGTAATAATAATAGTGATGTATGACAACATGCCAACGTCTGACAGTCCTGAAGCTTGTGGTTCTGTTCTGTCAAACTGCATTGCATTATACACGGAAGTGTTTCTGTTTTTAACCCTTCTGTTGTTGATATGCGTAGATTTGCCAACATTAAAACCACCTGCTTAATATAGTGTAAGTGCCCTCATAGCGCCAAAACAGCTCTGGCCCATAGGACCTCTGTAGGTTTCATGTGGGGCCTTTGGGTTCTCAGGGTTCTGTGGTGAAGCCTCCATGGATTTGGGCTTGTTCATGTGCATCCATGCGTTGGATACTTGATCAGATTAGGATCTGAGGAGTGTGGAGGGCAGGTCAACGCCTTGGACTCTTGGGCGTGCTCTTTGAGTCGTTCCTGAGCAGTTCCTGAGAAGTGGGAGGGTGTATTGTCCTGCTGGGGGAGGTTGTTTCTGTCGGGGAGTGATGCTGCTATGGAGGAGTCTGATTAATGTTTAAGTGGGTGTCAAAGGACTCAGCATTTCGAAGCAGAACATTACATTTTAACAAGATCATCAATGGTATTCACTTTACCTACCAATAGTTTTAATCTTGCGGCTGATCAGTTCCAGTGGTAATTAAATATCATATAAATCGTAATCAAGTCACTGCAAACCGTTAGTAGCTCTGAACTTGGTGAAATCAGTCAATTTGTCAGCCACTGAACTGAAGTGAAAACCTCCTGAGTGTCCCTGTCTGGAGTCTACGTCAAACCACCCAGTATTTTACATCCTCATGCTACTAAACCCAAACACACTGCTCTGGGCTGGTGGGTTGTGATAGTGAAGCTGTGGCTGGATATATGGCTAATGTTTGGACTTCAGCTGCCATTGTGGTTCGATCTGTGGTTCTCGGTGGCAGCTGTCGTCTCAAAACTGCAGTTATGAAGCCTGTCTCAGCAGCGGTTGGTGAAAGACGAACTGCTGAACTGGCTCCTCTAAATGCAATGGTGCAGACTTGTGTCCAAGCTGAGGATGCACCACACCCACACAGCTGAGTACGCGTCTCTGTTGCAACCAGTGATGGTCTACAGGCTTCATGATACTGTATGATTGTGTGCAGTGATGTTTTAGCATTGCTAAATGTTGCATTAAAGCTGTTGTACTCCTGAACTCCTAAATCTGAACCACAGCCGCAGTCCGAGCTGTAACCATGCATCCAGTCATCACAGTCATGCAGAGCAGCTGCGGCTGTGCCTACAACCAGCAGCTGGATAATGTCAGAGATCGGCCTTTAAAAATGAATAATGAGCAATTAATGCATTAATTGTAACATCAGGTGTCCTGTCTATGGTATCTGCAGTGTTTCCCTAAACTGGCAGTGCGTTATAATTGGACCAATCATTTCCTTCTGGATGAATAAAGTTCTATCTTATTTTATTTTATCTTACTAGAAAGAAGAAAGGTCTCATATCTAAATGCTTTTTCCGAGACTTCTTCTTTCTGTTTCCTTAAAAGTAGCTACATTCAAATATTAAGTTTAATGGAGGGTGATCAAAATATTTTAATCTTGCGGTGTACGCGTGAGTGGAGAAAAATAGAGAAATGGAAACACACTCTACCAAGTAAATTAGAGAACCTTTTGCTACCACTTAATTAAATGCATGGTTGCAAGACAAAAAAATTAAAACCTTAAACCCCCCAAAATGGCATTTGACAAGTTGTGTTGATGTAATAATATTGGTGGCTGAACCAACTTTATATTTAGTGTAACTTGAACAAAAATATCTGCTTTGATTAATTTCCAGTTGTGGTGAATTAAATAGATTGGCATGATAACTCTGGATTTTAGCTTGTGTTCGTGCTCCCAGTTGTGAATTGGTGATTTAAAATACCATAGACTGTATTCCCCTAACGCTAACACAGTTCACTGGTTGAACATTATTTCATTAGAAGTTGTCATAACTCACAAAAGACTGTTGCGCACTGTTGTGTTCAAGTTTTGTTTTTACAGTGCAGCACTTGGTTTCCTGAACCTTTGTATAGTACGTGACGTCATGCTTCTTCTTTCCCCTGAAGTGTGTCATTGTCTTGTGTTGCGGTGAGAAGCACAGTGAGCGACAGAGTGGAGGAACAGCAGGAGGTAACGGCGTCTTATTCACGTTATTTACAACAATGTTACTGTGCTATAGCAGGATTGATGGCTCTGAGTTCGGTTAAGAGAGCCTCAATCTACAATAGCCAATTATGTCCATTAATGGTATGAGTGTGTTGACAAAGCAAAGCAGTGATAAACTCAGTGATTCTGTCTTTTTGTTTTCGAGGATGTAAAGATAGTTGTAGGCTTGCTTATGTTGGTAAACCTCACGGGCGAAGGCAGAACGATGGAGAATTTGCACTCACTTTATGTTTGATAGTTTGTCCACTGAGATGTGCCACTAGCCTTCAGCCTGTAGATGTAAGCACTAAAAAAGGGGAAGTATGAAATGCCAGGAAATTACTGTGTGTTCTGATAAAATAGCGACCCCATGCTGACTGTGTCTTGGCTCAGTACTGAAGCTCATCACTGTGTGTTTATGTGCACCTGTTCGACTTTGTGTGTTAAAACCACAGGTTGGCAATGAAGCTGTTTCCTGCTCATCCAAGTCTTTGGGCCAGCTTGCTGGTTTTGTGGGTGTCACAAAGTGGTGAGTGGCTTTTGACGTCACACACAATTTACACTCGTACTCTGCCAATATAACGAAAGGAGGATGACAAATGGCTATCAAAATATGGCTGTTAAAACATGATTTTTCTTCAGTAAACCATGTTTTATTCGTCAAAGGTTTTTTGTTTTCATCTGGGTGGTGTCGCAGTTTGTTTCCTCTTTCCCTGTAAATAATGTTCAAGGAAATGAGTTGTCTCCTCCACCCAGATTAAAGTGTGATTTCGCCCCCCCCCCAGCGCTGAGCCAAACTCCACTCACTGCAATATTTTTTTAAATTACCGTACTTTTCAGACTACTGAGCACACCTGAATATAAGCCGCACCCACTAACTTTGAAAAGAAACAATAATGAGATATTTACATAGAAAGATTTTTTTCACTTCTTAACTTAAGTCGTCTTCTTCAGTATCAAAAAGCCTCAGAATTGCTTTGTCACACACTTCCTCAGTCTCTCTTTCGTTGTCGTTCAATGTCACTTTCGTCTCGAGGCAAAATCGCCCCTGAGCTTGTGCTGTTCTCTTTGTCAGGCAGCGGTCCAGCCTTTCGAAACCCATTGGTGATAGCTGATTTTTTGACACTGCTCCACGCTGTCAGGATCCAGCCCGTACAAATCCATAAATTAGCCGCATCAAGTGGTCAAAGCGTGTGAAAAAAGTAGTGGTTGATAGTCCGCAAATTACGGTACAAGAAGTAATTAAGGGTCTGAGAGGGGAGGAGGGAAGGTGTAACAAAAAATGGAGAGCAACACTTAATCGCCACACACAAGGGTTTCTTGGAGGTTGAGGACTTTTACCTTCGTTGTTGTGGTGGATTCTGAACTCTATCTGTTTGAGCAGTTGGTCTGACCTGGACGCTGGAGATATTGGAAGGCAATGCAAGTGCAAGAGAGGGCTGGGGCAGTCTGAGAAGTAACCTAACGTTAGTTTGAAGGAGGTCAGGATGAGGGTCTGAAGGGAAACAATGCAGTGCGGTGGGACTTTTATAGTCCAAGAGCACAAACAGTCTAAACCACTGTGTCACACTTGAAAGACAAGAAGTCGTGTGAACTCTTAAATGAAGGGTTTTACTGACTCTCACTTGAGGGCAGCGGCTGCCGTCTAATTAGAGGGTATTAACATTCTTTCCTCATCAATGTCACGTTGGCTCTAGAGGCAGATCTTCACTGCGGGGACTCGGC